ATATTAATATATATTAATATATATTAAATATAGAAAAATATATTAGGGTTAAGGCTCCTGCAGCGGAACACATCAATCAAAATAAATAACTTTTTTTTTTGGGTACGATCACTCATGTTCAATAATATGGATTAGTAAAAAACGTGGAAAATTCTTTTTGATTCGTGAATTAATAAATTAGTTTCCCTATTACTGTACGTGGTTTAGCGTTAAACACTATCGTATTATTTATCATACCTCGATATAGAAGCATAATTCCAATGTGTTATCGCCCGTAACGCCGTTCCGCTTGGTCCCCCAACTTCTCCTTCAAAACCTGGCAATAAAGGCATTACGACAAATACCCTAAACACCGAGCCTTCTCTGTGCGCTCTCAAGATTCTTTTTAATAATGTCTCACCAATTCGATTTTTTACACTACCTTTATCCATAGAGGTAAGTGTTATAAAAAATTGATTTTCTATGTATATATATCTACAAAACTATGCAGGTTAACAAAATGTAATACAGAATCACAGAATATGAGAGACTGCAAAATCTTACCTTTCTGCTTTATTGATGGCATGGATATAAGCTTCTTGTATACTCTGCTCTACGGTTTCCGGGTCAAGGAAACCAGCTGACCAAGAACTCACTGATCGTAATACTTGACACTTGACATTGTACTTATTTGCTTCTTTGATAAATGGAGCATAACTCCTGCAGTGCTTGTATGATTTTGGTAATAAATAAGGATAACATGGATTCAGATTTGCTTTTTCTAGCTACAATAATTATATTTCATCAATATATACCATTTCTTTAATATATCTGAATTTAAGCATGCACATTATCAAATGTTATGTACGTACTTTTACAGCATTCCAACGTTGTATAAAATGCCTGGCTACATCTCTAGCAGCAGAATTCTGTACTAAAATTCCTATATCATGCCATGGCATCCTAGGAGTAGTAGTTCTATCTACTAGATCCTGATATGGCTTTTCAAGATCATTAAAGTCTTTAACAATGAAATTTGTATAGTCTTTACCAAGCCACAATTTTGTCGTGGGTTTTAAATTGCAGACATAATCCACTGTATCTTCACATTCCGATAGTACCTGTTCGCTAAATAAAAAAATAAAAAAAAAAATTATATTATGAAATTAAAGTAAAAAAAAATTAAATAAGATTAATAGAGGAATGATTAGTACTTGTCGATGTCTTCATTGGCGCCTGCTTCATGAGAACTATACATCATATTAATTAATTCCTGTCTCTTTACTCTTACAGTGTTTTTCATTTTATCGACGGTTGTTTTCGCCACATCAAATAAATTTTTTCTTTGTAATTCAGGAGTATTACACTTTATGTTATCTTCTGTTTCTTGCATCATAAAAAGTGAATTATCCATTGGCAACGTTGACGTTTGAGCCTTCTGTATTTTATTATCCATATATATCATTGGCCTATAAAAATAAATAAGATTAATTATATTATGTTTTTAATTATAATTCATATTTACATACTGATTATAATAATACTTACAACAGAGGCATGGATCTCGCGGTTACCATAGCGATAGTATTCGTTGCGATCGCTAGTGGTAGTAACACGTGTCTATCTGTGTTAAAGGTTGTTAATACTTTTTTACTGCTAGTATTAGTTAACTTGTCTTTCGAAGGAATATAGATACTTGACTGATGAATGGATTCTACAATTAAGATATATTTAAATGATACAAGAAAGAGATGCTAAGAAAAAATTTAAAGAATATTTACCTAAATCTATCAATCTGTGTTCGCTATTATCCCATCTACCATAACATAAATCGATACCACCGAGAAACGCTAGAGATTGATCAACAACTACGATTTTTTCATGATGAGCCCAAAGAAAAACGCCTGCCCTTGCATGATCTGGGTGCCTTAATACTTTTATATTTTCAGGACATTGCTCCACAAGTCTTTGTTTGCTGTAGTAACTGTTTATGCCTAAAGCAACTTCAATTTCCTTATATATTAATATGAACACTTTGACACCTTCAAACTATAAAAGAAAATATTTATGCAATTGTATGTTAAAAATCTGTTATGTAAATCTGTTCAATGTAAATTTTTTTTGTTTTATATACGGTTTAATAATATGTGACATAATATAATTTCAGTATAATCAAACAAACTCTTTTATATATTCAACGACTTTTAAAAAACACAATTTCTCTTTACAATTAATTAATATATTTATATTATATATGTTTATAATTGCATATCTGCAATATTTGATTTTATATGAAAATATTATCAATTATACTCACCGCTTTTCTTTGTAAAATTTTATCTAGTCGCCAATGATCTCCATTAAGCATTGGTCTTTTCATATGAATTTCTGGTGAAAGCCACCAATCTGCAATAAAAATTTCCTCTTTGGCGTTTTCTAATGCATCAGCCACAGCAGCCATATAATCGGCTCCGTCCACAAACCAGGTTGCGAATATAGATGAACGGTATGGAGCAAATGAATTATGTGGATTTGTTTGTATAAAATCTTTACCTTTAGAAAATCAAACCAATTAAACATAAAATAGTCTATCATTTATTGTTTTATACGATCTTACCTTTGCTGTTACTAATTTCCTGTATAAACTCCATCCATTCCTTAGCTTTTCGTTTCGTCCAACACTTGATAACTATGTGCCTACTCAGATTTGCAATCTGTATCCCACTTCGTGAACCTGTACTATATATTCCAAAACTGATCCCAAAACCATTATCCATTAAAATAACAGATTTTATTCTTCCATCTTGAGTAAGATATGCAACAAAGGTTTCCTTAACAATGAGATGTCTTTTATGCCATTTGCCACAAAGAGAGGTGCATAGATAATTGCACTTGATACAAAAGCCACATTCAAATAAACCACAGAAATTACATCTGGTTTTAGCACCTGATCCAGTCCGTTTCAAAATTGTACCTTCTTTCCCTTTCATTCCTAAATCAGCTACGAAAGACAATCGTGAAATATCCAAAAAATTGATCTGTAAGAATATAATGATAGTATGTCCCTTTAGGATGGTTATTTGAAAGGATTTGATTGATTAATTAAAATATACTTACAGTTTCAGGATGACGTCTGTAGATTTCTATATTAAGTAAATTATATAAATAATCTTCTAATTCCTTTCTTCTATGATTTAACTGTTCATAAGGTACTAGAATGTCAGGCTTATTAGGAAATCTATAAAAACATCTAGATTATATTTTTTAAAGATTTATATATATATATAGGGAAAGGTATGTTCAAACTGGCACGATATATTTTCAATTGATTATGCAGGTACTGAATATGTTTGTATCGCTTTTTAATAATCCAGACAAAAGGTCCATGTTTAAATTCTATAGTATATAGATTTGGATTCAAAGGATGCGTGGTCACACTGCGTTCATTATCTATAATTCTTACTTGCACTTCTTCACCAGGTATAAACACATGACAGTTTTGATTTTTGAATTTTGTTGGTAGATTATGTATAACAGTGAAGGGTATTATATCAAGGGTTTCTAATAATGTAAGAAAAAAGATATAATTAATAAAACATTGTGTTTTTAAATCAATGAAAATTAAATAAAAATAAAACAAGAGTATGAATGTAAATTAAGAGTATGTATATTTCCATATTATATTGTATGAGTTTTAATAGTAAGTAAATATATACAAACTTATTAATAACTGAGAAAATGACAAATCAAAAACTGTTTTGAACAATATTTAAGAAATAAACACTAATAAAAAATGAAGAATATACAAGAAAGTCGATGTATTAATAGAATATAAATTCATACCTTCTTTATTATTCGTGCATTCTATTTCTTCTTTACTAATTTGTATTGTCTCTCCATTCTCATCAATCGTTATTTCTAATGAGTCAGGTACTTCCAAAGTGTCATCATATTCAGAATCTTGCGATATTGCACGGGTTATCTCTTTAGATGTAACCTCAACCAATTCAGTAGACATCTCTCCCGATAAGTTTCTCTATAAAGTTTTTTATAATATTTTCAATGTATAAGAAAAATATAAAAATAATATTTTTTCCTAAATATTAATAAAATATAAATTTAAGTTAATTATAACTTTTATTTTATATAAATAATTATAAATTTGATTTTTTTTAAATTACTAAAGGATTTCTCTTTTTCTCTCTCTCTCTCTCTCTCTCTCTCTCTCTCTCTCTCTCTGTATATACATATATTATATTAATTATGTGATAAAGAATAATGCACTTTACATTTTATAATGGAACATAATTCTAGTTTAAAAACTGTCAATAGAATATATTGTGCGTGATGCTAATATATTTTTTCAGATACTTGCATAATTATGCGCTGTTAGAATAATAAAAAACTATTGCTGTGTCTTTTTATAAGTATTATTCATTCTCATCTCGTAAACGATGATTCAAGTAACGATATCACGATCACTATACTGCTTGTTACATATACACATAGTTATATAAAATATATAAATTAAATATATAAATATATAAATTAAACATTATATCTACCGGCAAGAGAAATCTAAAGTTTATCGTTAGATATATAAGATACGAATCGAAAAGTTATCAACTTCAATTCCAAATATATACTTGCGCTTATGGACGTTATTCTACACTTGACTTAAGTACTACTTATACCTTATACTATACATATTCCGAGCTCCGAGCCGCGCTGACGAAATCATCCGAAGTATTCCGAAGTCTTAGTAAGATATTTAATCCTTTCACCTCGCAAATCTTAGCTATCTTTCGGCAGACTATGTCTACAACTTGTATATTCCTATGTGAGTCGTGTTACATGGATTATATTAGATTACGTGATGATTCACCACGCGAGGAAGATATGATTAAGTGCTTATATTGATTCGCATCGCATCGCCATCAAAAACATATTCTTATTATCTTACACTTCTAATGCCCGTATCAGACTACGCATTGAAGATTGAGATTCAAGATTCAAGATTGAAATTTGACCAATAAGAATAAAGAAATTTTAGTTCTTTTTGTTTTGATTAGTCAAATTCCAATCTTTAATCTTCAATCTTCAATTTTCAATGCGTAGTCTGATACGGGCTTAACACAGCAAACAGATATAGACTCTAAAAGAATATTATAAAATATATATTGAGTATATATTTTCCGAACATCTTCGAAACATGTACTGTGATATATTAATTGTAAATATTATATATATA